AAAAATGTCAGTCAGATATTATCACATAACTAGTTACCTATCATGAATTAGAAACCACATTTCCTCCAAAGAAACTTTTTAATTTATTGAGAAGTAGGGTTAGAATTAAATTTAATATAAATCTAGTAATTGTCTTACCGACACCAGAAAGAAAACTTATACATGCATATTCGCTGCTCCTAAAGACTAACTTAGATGTTGCAAACATTGCATGTTCGATTTTTTCAAATTTATCTGATATTTTCATTCTAATGATACAAGTAATGCTTGCTTCTCTACAAGACTTCTAAGGCTGTGGCAATATCATTTGTAAACGATAAATGGAATTTTCTTTAGAGAGAGTTAACATATATATCTGAAATAAATTCAATCATTAGATGATTTGAAGGCTTCTATTCTGTAATTTCTGTTCTGGTTCTAGACATGTTCATATGCTTCTTAATACTTTCACACAAAACATTTTGGTGAAAATTCTAAGCAAAAAAAATAGATTATGATAATTTCAAGGGAAATTATTAAGATATATTACAGTCTTCAAAATGTTTATTAAAACATTTTTTGAGGGCGCCTGGGTGGCTCAGATGGTTAAGCGCCTTTGGCTTAGGTCATGAGATCCAGGTCCTGGGATGGAGCCCCAGGGGGTGGGGGTGGGGGAGGGGTGCTCCAGCTCAGCAGGGAATCTGCTGCTCCCTCTCCCTCTGCCTCTCCCCTGCTTGTGCTCTCTCTGTCTCTCTGTTTCTTTCTCTCTCAGATGAATAAATAAAATCTTTAAGAAACCCATTTTTTAAATTTTTACATTAAATAACACCATGATAAATAATCACATCATTTAAATAAGCTACTTACATTTTTAAAAACTTAACAATGTCAAAAACCACTCACACATGAAGCTACAGAACAATAATTAAATCACATTTTCTAGACCAAATTCCTATTACCACTGTGAAAGGCATATTAGCAAATGTTTTATAATTTAGAAAAAAGTCTTCCTTTTTTTACTCTTACCTTCAGCAATACAAACAGTCCACAATATAAGCCAAACGATCTCCCCTGGAAATCTCATTTTGAGGATCTTTTAGGAGTACATTTAATAGCTGACGGTGCACACACTAAGTCAAATTCTCTTCCTCTAAAAAATGTGATTAGTGCAGGAAAGCACTTGCTCAAAAGGAAATTGAAACACAGCTCGGGAATTAAAGGGATTACTAGATGCTCCGCCCATCAGAAACTTTTGCAAGGTAAAAGAGAAAAATCAACCTCAAGCCCCAGCATTGCCAGAGTTTGGATCTGATTCTCCCTGCGTTTCCACTGAATGTTAATGCTGTGACCTGCTTTTGATTTGTTTTTATAAACTCAGGCATGTCCTCCGCTGGAGCCCGTTCAAGTTCTCGGAATGTGCAAAGCAGTAACTGGTGATATCCTCTGGATTTCATAAACCCTCAAAAGAGAAAATAATAGAAGCTCTTTTAAATATCATTTACAGAACCTGAAGTGAGTCAATGCTTTCACAAACAAGACCCAGACAATGTGAGTAAACCTTGCCAAGAATGTAGTGCTGGCCTGCTTTTCCCACAGTCCAGGAAATTATTCCTTTAAGGGATTGTTATATACGTGTGTGAAGCAACAGGATCACTCTCCTTGGTCATAAATGCGTTTAGTAATTCAAAAATCAAGAAATTTGAACACTGAGTTTTTAAACTTTATATTGATTTATAATACGCATAAAGAGCATATAAGCAAATGGGTTGGTGAATATTGAGAATGTGGAGACAGGAATGGAACCCGCGCCAAGCTGAGGACATTGAACAGCACTAGTTCTCCGGGAAGCCCCAGTTGTCCCGTTAGGTCAGCCCCTCCCAACCTCTCCCTCACCACACAGAGGGGGACCACTGTCCTAATCTCTAAGAACATGGAATCCATTTGTCTGTTTTGTACTTTACATAAATTGAAACATACTTATTTTTTAGTGTGTAGAGCTTTTCACTAAAAATTATGTTTGTTATTCAACCGCACTGTTGGGTTTAATTTCAGATTACTAATTCATATTGCTGTGTAATATTCAATTATTTGAATATACCACATTTTTATTGTGTGCCTGTTAGTGGGCATCTGAATAGATTCTAGTTAGGAGGTAATGAAAATAGGGCTGCTGTTATGAGGTTTTTGACAAAGACATGTCCTCACTTCTGAGGAGTACATACCTAGGGGTGGAACGGTAGCAGAATGGATGAATATGTTTAGGTGTAACAGGTAGCATCAGAGAGTTTATGCAAGGATTATGCTAATTGGTGTTCTCATCAGCAGTGTATAAATGGCTCCAAATCCTCAACACACTTGATGTTTTCAATCTGTGTAATTTTAGCCATTCTATTGAACACAGAGCAGTAATTCTCTGGGGTTTTAATATGCATTTTCCTGAGGACAAATGAAGTTGAGTGACTTTCACGTAGCGATTGGTCATTTAGATATTCTCTTTGGTGAATTGTCCATTCAAGTCTTTTGTGTGTATATATATTTTCTATTGAGTTATCTGTCTTGTACTTACCTCACTGTAGGAATTCTTTTTATGTTCTTTAGACATTCTTGGACATATTTATTATAAATATCTGCTCTCAGCCCATGGGTTGTCATTTTGCTTAGTGTTTTTTAATGGGCAGAATTTCTGCATTTTAAATTGAACAATTAAATGTTTTATTTACCTAATTATGCTTGACTCTCATTTTTTCAAACATATTCTTGAAGAGCCCAACTGACAAAGGTAGCCTGCTTTTGAAGCTGGACACTTTTCAAGAGGGTTCAAATCACAAATTCATGCTAAATTCATTGACATGTTTAAGCAGAAAAGAATTCTGGGTCACTAAATCTCCTTGCATGTTTATTGCTCTAGCTACAACAGAATCCATCCTTGTAAATGTCACAGGATATAACAATTGCAGTGGAAAAAAAGAAAATGTTTGGAGCTTAAGAAGAAAAGACATTTTTTAAATTTTAAAATAGAACAAATTTTCAATTTTTTTCTACTTGGGTTAGCGCATTTTTGTCCTATTTAAGGATTCTTTGCCTACTCCTAGGACACAATGATGCTTTCCTCTAAAAGTATTATTTTCTCTTTGACATTTAAGACTGCATTTGACTTGGAGGGGGGGAAAGATGGAGAGGAGTAGGGGACCCTATTTCAACTGGTCCCTGGAATTGAGCTGGATATCTACCAGACCACTCTGAGCACCC